TAATAAATTAAGTTAATTAACTTTTTTTTTATTAAAATTAGTTAGAATTAGGTTTTTTTAATTAACTTAAAATTATTTTCTAAAAAAAAACACCAAAAGCATTAACTTAGAATTTTAGGTTTTAATTTTTCCTTAATTTCTTTTTATTTATTCTTTTACATTTTAATTTCTAGAAAAACTGTATAGATCGCATTATCAATGTAATAGCGTAGATTTATCTTTTCTCGCGTTTTTTTTCTCTAATTATGTAATTGCTTCCGGGATGTAATAGTTTTAGGATTTCTTTTCCGCATTCTTCATTATTATGTAACTGCCCCAAAGCTCTGTAATAGCCTAGGTTTATATTTCCGCCTTTACCTTCTGTTACTATATTTTATGCAATGCTTAGACTAATAGGATTGTATGGAAAGACCGGTAAACTAATTAAACATAGCATCACTTAATTACAAGATAAATATCTGAAAACAAACACTGCTGCACACTTGCGCCCCTAGGGTATACCTCACTTGGTTGCCTCGGAAACAATGGTCATGTCCCTCGAACGTAGGGGTATCTTAGCAAAGACCCTCGGTTAAAGTCATCATAAAGATCATAGTCCCTCAACGTCCCTCGAGTTGCCTACGAGAAATGATCTTGTCCCTCGATGTTGCCTACGCCTATATGATGACAGTCCCTTCGAAATGCTAAGGTATCCTTACATGTTACCTTCAATGACCATTTCTTCCCTTTCGATAGTCCCTCAACATCCAACGACTAGGGTTACCTACTCACTAATAGTAGGATAACATGGTCTAAAGGATAAGAGGAAAAGAACAAGCTTTTTTTCGAGTAGGTAGATAACTGTTAGGTACTTGCTCAAAACAACAAATCTTTTACACCATACACTTTCAAACAAACTATTCAAACTAAAGTTTTCAAAACACTTTGTAACACTCTTGAGAATAGAAACAAGGGTTAAAACGAAGTAAAACAAAATTTTTCAAAGCAAAGCACACACAAGCAATTTCAAAATGAGCAAGTACCTAAGAGCCCATGGAAAACCATGGATGGAAAGGGTGCTAACACCTTCCCTTTCTATAATCTACCCCCGTACTCAGAAACATCTAGAAAAAGGTTTTTTATATTCTTTTTCCTTTTCCTGATTGGATAAAATAAAATTCGGTGGCAACTCTTGCTTATCGCAACATTTGCGAACAAAAAACGCAAACCAGTATTAACACTTGGTTCTGCCACCGTATCACAAATACCATCATGTATCACTCACACTAAGGCTATCTCTAACGCAAAGTGAGACATCACCAGTATTGCTCTCGTCAACAATCTCTCAACTGACTCAAATAACCTGGATGTATTTCATAACTAATACCCACATGAATATTAAGCCTAAATTTATGTCTAGAGTCTAGGACCTAATAGATATTCATTCAAGAAAGAGATTCAGAAAGCATATGTCTACGATAAACCAAAACTTTGTGATTAAGCAAAAATCAAGAATAAACACCGGTATTAATTGGTAAAAGATATTTCATACAATTCCATGATCAATAAATGTATATACAATAAGAGTAAAGGTATACATACAACACCTAACATAGGAATGGTACATAGGGAAGAAGGAGATGAATAGGAAACTTCTCGTGGTGTCAACACGATCCGAGACCACTCATAACCAATTGGCATGATGAACCACCCAATGATGTTGCTTGAACCTCTAAGCTACAAAGAATTGGATCGAAGCTCATCCAAGAGGGAAAGAGATGATAAAAACATAAAAAATATGTTTCTAAACTATTTATACAAACTGATCTCAACAGACCGTACTTAGCGGGCTCACCGCTCTAAGCGGACTGTGTTTATTTAACACACTAAACCGCCTAAAACCGCACTAAATGCGTTATCCGAGCTAAACAGACCCAAAATCAAAGCTTCTGCCAAAATGTCAAAACGCAAGCAACGCACTACAAAATGCATTGATCACACTCACGCTTAGCGGCCTTTTGCATGCTAAGCGGGCTCTCTTGGGCAAAACTTCTCAAAACTGGTCTTTTATTCTGAAAACGTGCATTCTGAGTTGTGCCTTCAACACCTTATTTGTTGATGCTCCAAAATGCAACAAATACCTAAAAATGAATGGAAAAACATTAAACGACAAATTGTGTACACAAAACACAAATAAACACAAACTAAACGTATTTATACAAAAGTTGAGTTTATTCAATCGATATTAACAACAAAGAGTCCATAAGTGCAACAAAAAGTATATATAAAAATAACTACAATTTGCACTTATCAGATGGTCGTATGGTTTCGTACCAAAGCAAGAAGGGACAAAATAAAGGAAGGCTTTTTTGGAGATGTCCATTTTGGAGGAGTGATGAAACCAATAATTTGTTCATATGGGATAAAGACATGGGAGAAAATGGTAGAAATGAAGATGAGAGCATTATGAAGTCAGAGTTGGAGATGTCCATTTTGAAGGTTATGTATGAAGACTCAAAGAAGAAGAACAAGATTTTGAAGAACAAACTGAAATCAGAGAGATTATCTGGAAATTTGAAGATGTTATGTTTTCTTGTCTCCTTTATGTTTAACTTTTACTTTGTTATGAAATGTTATATTTGAAGTTTCAATTAGTTATACGTTTGCTAGTATATTAGTTGAAATATAATAGTTGAATTCCATTGTTGAAACTACAAATGCATTGAATTTGACAGGAATACAACTAAAAGACGGTTTCTTACGAGTAAGTTCATCGCAAGCTGTTGGATTTTCAATTAGTTATCTGTTTGATAGTATATTAGTTGATAGATTTAATAAGGTAGTTTAAGTTGATAACCTTTCATTACATATAAACTTTCATTATATGAACTTAATCAAATCTAAATCCTCTAGTTGAGAGAAAGTTTGACCAATCATAGTCAACATCATCATCATTATCATCATCATCATGTATGAAGTCATAGTTGAATGAGAGCATTATGAAGTAAGAGTTGGAGATGTCCATTTTGAAGGTTATGTATGAAGATTCAAAGAAGAAGAACAAGAATTTGAAGAACAAATTAAAATCAAAGAGATTATCTAGAAATTTGAAGATGTTATGTTTTATTGTCTCCTTTATGTTTAATGTTTACTTTGCTATGAAATGTAATAGTTGAAGTTTTAATTAGTTATATGTTTTTTAGTATATTAGTTGAAATGTAATAGTTGAATTCCATTGTTGAAACTGCAGATGCATTGAACTTGACAGGAATGCAACTAAAAGACGGTTCCTTAAGAGTAAGTTTATCGCAGACTATTGGATTTCAATTAGTTATCTGTTTGATAGTATATTAGTTGATAGATTTAAGACGGTAGCTTAAGTTGATAACCTTTCATTGCATATAAAATTTCATTACATAAACTTAATCAAATCTAAATCCTCTGGATGAGAGGAAGTTTGACCAATCATAGTCATCATCATCATCATCATGTATGAAATCAGAGTTGAATGAGAGCATTATGATGTCAGAGTTAGAGATGTCCATTTTGAAGGTTATATATGAAGACTCAAAGAAGAAGAACAAGAATTTGAAGAGCAAACTAAAATCAGAGAGATTATCTGGAAAATTGAAGATGTTATGGTTTCTTGTCTCCTTTATGTTTAATGTTTACTTTAATATGAAATGTAATAGTTGAAGTTTCAATTAGTTATTTGTTTGTTAGTATATTAGATGAAATGTAATAGTTGAATTCCATTTTTGAAACTGCAGATGCATTGAACTTGACATGAATGCAACTAAAAGACAATTTCTTATGAGTATATTCATCACAAACTATTGGATTTTCAATTAGTTATATGTTTGGTAGTATATTAGTTGATAGATTTAAGATGGTAGTTTAAGTTGATAAGCTTTCATTGAATATAAACTTTCATTATATAAACTTTCAATACATAAACTTAATCAAATCTAAATCCTCTGGATGAGAGGAAGTTTGACCAATCATATTCATCATCATCATCATCATCATCAGATGAGAAAAAATTATCTGCCTTATCAACCTTCTTTTTCTTCTTCTTCTTCTTCTTCTTCTTCTTCTTCTTCTCTTCTCGTTATCCTCACCCTGAGAGCTCTCAAGCACAGCTCTGTTGCATAAGACCAGCTTATTTCCTCATCTTGATTCTGAGGATGGTTTTGAACCACAACACCTTCTACAGCAACAACAACTTCTTAATTATCAACATTGTTGGTGGCTTGAGCAGGAGAACTCAATTTGATTCCTTTGGATTAAGTTGGTTTTGTGTTCTTCCGCTTTTATATTGTTCTTATAATTCGTCATCTTCTCTTGGAAGTTGGAATGATTTCATGCATGTCAAACTAGTGTGCTCATTATTGGTTGTTTAATTCTATACGCTTTTTCTTGTCTTAGAAGTTGGAAGGATTCCTGCCAACCTCGAGCCACTGAATGATTACATATCCTTTTATTTTCAAACTTCATTTTTCATTCTTTGATATTCCTTCTTACGTATATTTTGATGTAATAATGGTTTTGATATCAGTTTATAAATGGTGTATTGTTGATTCTAGTATGATACATTTGATATCAGTTTACAAACTGGTTTTGATATCAATATCACAACTGTTTTTACTCTTAATCATTGTTATAGGGCACATGATATTCATTTTACTACAATGCTCGCTGAACTGTAATTGAAAGTAACACATATATAACAATACACTACATAACAATGCCTGGACCTGCGCGATTATATACCTAATCCAATCGTTGTTAAAACCCATTTTCGTAGTAGTGTCAGTTCATCTGACACAATTTCCAGATGTTTATAAAAATATTTTCTTTTGGTAAAACATATTTAAAATAGTTTAGTGTGTGTGCTTTAGCCTTGCGCTTTTATGCTAAAGTCCTTTTGTCGTCATCTTTTTCTTCTCCTTCTCCTTCTCCTTCTCCTTCTCCTTCTCCTTCTCCTTCTCCTTCTCTTTCTTCTTCTTCTTCTCCTTCTTCTACTCCTCCTCCTCCTTCTCCTCCTTCTCCTTCTCCTCCTTCTCCTTCTTTTTCTCCTTCTCCTCCTTCTCCTTCTCCTCCTTCTCCTTCTCCTTCTCCTTCTCCTCCTTCTCCTTCTCATTCTCCTTCTCCTTCTCCTTCTTCTTCTCCTTCTCCTTCTTCTTCTCCTTCTTATCCTTCTTCTTCTTCTTCTTCTTCTTCTTCTTCTCCTTCTCCTCCTTCTCCTCCTTCTCCTTCTTCTCCTTCTCTTTCTCCTCCTCCTCCTCCTCCTCCTCCTTCTTCTTCTTCTTCTTCTTCTTCTTCTTCTCCTCCTTCTCCTTCTCCTTCTCCTTCTTCTCTTTCTCCTTCTCCTTCTCCTTCTCCTTCTCCTCCTTCTCCTTCTCCTTCTCCTTCTCCTTCTTCTTCTTCTCCTTCTCCTTCTCCTCCTTCTCCTTCTTCTTCTTCTTCTTCTTCTTCTTCTTCTTCTTCTTCTTCTCCTCCTCCTCCTCCTCCTTCTTCTTCTTCTTCTTCTTCTTCTTCTTCTTCTTCTTCTTCTTCTTCTTCTTCTCCCCCTTCTCCTCCATCTCCTTCTCCTTCTCCTTCTTCTTCTTCTCCTTCTCCTTCTCCTTCTTCTCCTTCTTCCCCTTCTCCTTCTCCTTCTTCTTCTTTATCAAATATACAATTTATAACTTATTATGTATATAATATTGATAACACTTTAGTATCTTTTAATTTCGTTGAATAGTGGCACCCTCATCCAATCAAATAACCTTATTCAATGTTATGTTATTTTTTTAATTTATTTTTTTAAAAATAAATTTTTAATTTAATTTAATTTTCATTAAATATTAATATCCAACCAAAACTCATAAATACCAACAAAAAAATCTTATAATATTTCTCACTTATTTATTATTTACACTATCATGGTGGTGACCTATCTATTCACGTGGACAAGAAATGTATTTTTAATCTTCATCTTATTATAGCGATAATAAATGTCACAAGCATAATGAACAAGTTTGTCAATTTTCATAAAAAGTAAAAAAAAAAAAAATTAAATGTATTGTCAGTATACAAGGTGTAAAAGTCTCATATTATGTTAAGCGCGTATGGGTGCAAGAGTCATGATATGAGGGGGGTGCAGGATGTGAAAAATTGGAATTATAGGTAACAAAATATCCAAAGGGTGCAAGTGAACCCCCTTAATGAAGGGTGGTTCCACCCCTGGTTTTACTGCTGCATTTTTTTAATTTTATTAAAAGACATACAACAATGCTTGCTTAATACAACCGTAGTTGTATGTAGTGCGTTATCTAATTTATAACAACGGTCACACGACTGTTGTGGTAACCAGCATATATAAAATCACACGCTATCTAACAACGGATGTGCTACCATTATTATATGTGTTTCATAACCTTTATTGTATGTGTTTTTCATACTAGTGCAAAACCTTATTCTCCACATTCTTTCCCAAAGAAGGAGGATTTATCTCATATATAATAAGGGAAGATACTAATTTGAACCAATCATAATTTGAACCAACCAACATAGGTGGTCTGTTGTTGTATCCTTCTTTCTTGTACATAGTACCAGAAATATGTTCTCCCTGAAGCTCATCCAATAGACAGAACAAGGTGCATGTTCTGATGCCAATTGAAATTTTGGCACTTGCAATACAAATGCCAAGATTTATGTCTTAACACAGAAACACGATGTCAAGACAGATGTTGTAACATCTGTTGATAGAAAACATGCTAAAACTGATGATTGTGCAGAAAGATAACTTGTAGAATTTTAAATAACACAATCAATTGTTAATCCAGTTCGGTGTAACGTCACCTACTCTGGGGGCTACCAAGCCAGGAAGGAAATTCGCTATGATAGTATTAGTTCAAAGCTAAACCAACTCTATTTTACACCTTCTTTCCTAATCACTACCTTGTGCAACTTCTACCTAGAAACCACTAGATATGAGATCCTCTTCTCACTTTCAATCACTGCAGTGATACCTACAACCACAAACCTTGTGACTAGACTAAAAAACCCAAAAATAAGATTACACTTCAAATAAACAATATTTAGTTTTGCTTAAAAGCTTTAACTAAGAACAATATTCAACTCTTTACTTAAAAGCTCATGAGTGAGAATAATAACTTGATAAACAAGCAAGAATCAGTCTACTAAAAAAATACATGAGTGACATACAAAGAACACAAAAACAAAAAATAAAAGACTCCCAAAACCCTAATCCTTATGTTGCACACATAGTTTATTCAATGTGAATGCTTGCTACTTTAGGTCATATAAATTCTCGTTATATAGACTCTTGCAGAATGAGCTTGGACTCTTCAAATCAAATCTAATCTTCTGTTTTAAATCAGCTGCAAGATCTTTACAAAAAATAGGAACATATATTTTACAGTTTCCTAAAAAGTCTCAAAGATCTTTTTTTATGAAACAAATCAAATTTTCCCATTGTTTCTAAATAATCTCCTTAACTTGTGCATAATGATGAGGTATATCCAAAAGGATCTCATCAAATCAAATCAAATTTGGCAAGAGATGCAAAATAGTAGCGCTTGTTGTACACAGACTAAGATGTCATGACATATGCCTTCGACATTTTGGTGAAATACATAACACTAAAACTGTTATGACAGATGATGAAGATGTTACAATATCTTGCTCAACATCAGTATAGAACCATATTTTACCAAAATTTAGCCAAATATAAAACCATGGAACTAAAAATCATGATTTCGACAGGTTCCACAAAATTGGCGTTGCCAACTTGAAGAGGGTCATCATAAACTTGAATCGAGGCCTTTGGATTTTCACCAAAGTGAATCATTTCTTCTTTCAATGTCTTCTGCACCAGGTCCCTGAAAAGAACACATTGAGATGTTTTATGACCTAAGAAACTATGGTACTTACAAAAAACACTTTTTTCTTTTGTTTCAATGGCGAATTTTTTAGGCCAGGAGGCGTTATAATTTTCCCATCAAACACTAAGACATCAAATATTTTGTCACCCTTTGTAATATCAAAAGTATAAGTTTTAGCGACAAACCTCTCATTCTTAAGTTCGACATGATTTTTCCCATTCGATGTTTTTAGAGGGTTGCATACATATGGGGGCCCTTGCTTTAGTTTTTCCATATTAACCTCTTACTTTTCGACGTGGTCATTGACCCATCCTTGAGAATATTCATTTGTGTCGACATATGCAACTTTTTATTTTTTGTTGGACTTAGATCTTCTGGATTTTTCAATTTTTAAGCGCTTAACCTGGAGAACCCTGTGGGCTAGTTGTGTCATATCTCTAAGGTATTAAGTATCTAACTTCTTCCTGATGAAATAGTCTAGGCCTTTTGAGGCCATTTCAAATAATTCATGGTTAGGGACTTGGGTAAAACATCCTTGTTTAAGAAGTCTAAACCTATTCAGATAGTCATCAATTGACTCACACATTTTTTCGCCTGACACTAGACAATTCAGGCGAAAAGCGTTCTTTCTCAAAGAACTGGGAAACTCCAGTTTCAAATTTGGCTATGTGTTCGGCAATAGACTCATTTGTGTCACCAGCGAACTTGTTAAATTTTGATACTTTCCATCCAATAAGAAACACTGTTTGACGAATGTAATCGGGCAAATGTGACATATAATTAGGCCTATGAAGGCCAACATTAAGACCACTCTGGGCTAACACATGTTCGACCATATTTGCAATACTGTTGTGTCCCACTAGATTAGTCTAATGAAGATTTCTAAGGACACGATCAACATCTTTATTTCTTTGCATTATCACTGGTCTAGGGTTATATTGCACTATACATTCTTCATCCTCCCTATCAGGAGTAGGCTCTTGTGGTCTAAATATTGCAGGCTTCCTGTGATTTACTGAGGCTACCCCATCACCAGGTATGCCGACTTTCCTTATATGTGATCTTTTGGGTATCGGTTGAGGCTGATTCTGAGGGACACCGAAGGATTCAATAAACTGACTCATTTGGTTGATCTTAGGGTTAAATATGATACCCATTTGTATAGTAAGGTTATTGACCAACACAATATAACTTTAGTCTATTTGTTGCCTCAAATCCATCATTGAAGTCGTATTCAATGATGGTGTTGAATGAGAGATATAACTTATTGTTGTACCCCAAAATTTGCCCTCCCATATCCCTCAAGGTTTGTCAAGAATGATCTTCAAATGGTTCAAGATTGCTCAAGGGTTGTACAGTCAAATCACCTCCTAAGACAGTCAATGCAAAATTAGGGTTTTGGTTCTTTCAAGGAATTTCGGGTTTTCAATGGTTCAATCAAGTCTCATAGGCCTATATACATTCTCAAGCATCTACATGCCAAGTTTTAAGACTCACAGTGCCAATTTGCACAGTCAAAAGCTCCATTTGATCCACAATCAACTGCAAGGGCAAAATGGTCATTTTGTAGCCAAAAGTCAGAATTCTTGGTCAACATCTTATTTTGAGTTCACAATCATCATTTGATCAAGTCTTGATCATGATTCCACAAGAAAAGCTCAAAAATCATCAAGGTGCAAAAAGTTACTATTTTTGGACAGTAGAAAAGTCAATTGTACCTTGACCAGGGCATAACTTTTTCATGGTTTATCAGAAAAATCCCATCCAATGCTCATTTTGAAGAGGATGCAATTTCCTACAATCCATCTTCACACTCCAAAATCAAGAAATGCTCTAACAAGAAGTTACCAATTTTTACATTATAGGTCAATTTCAAAAGTCAACAAAAATAGACATTGAGTCAAAGGCCATAACTTGAGATTGGTAAATCCAAATGACATGGGACCAAAGGCATTGGTTATAGGACTTCAAGGGCTTTCCAAAATGTCTAAGAACATGGTCATATGATCAAAATTGAGCAAGTTGTGCATTGGAGAAGTTGGGAAATTTTCATGAATTCGCAAAAGTCAACTTTGCTCAAAACACCTTATTTTTGCTAATAGGCCTCAAATCTCTTCTTGAAACTTCACCCCTGACTTATGCACGACCCACCAAGCTAAATTGGATTTATTTTCTTATTTTTATTGATTAATTGGATTTTTAATACATAATAATTCATTTAATTAATTTAAATCATAAGAAAATAGAAGATTTGATTTTTAAATCAATTTGTGAACCAAATATGATCAAAACATGCTGGCAAATTCGTGCACAAGTCAAAGATACAAAAAAATCCAAATTTGGCAACATTGGTCAATCATGAAAAATCAAGAATATTTGATTTTCAATCAAAGATTTAAACTTCATTGCACATGGATATTGGCCCAGCTCTTGACCTAATTCAAATGCCTTATACATATGCAAGCTAACCCTGACCTAATTCACGTGAAGAAAGCTGCAGAAACGACCTTGCCAAATTCAAGAATTTTCAAGAAAACTGAAAATCGGTTCTTGCATTCCAGGCCAATTCAAGGCGTTTTGATCATCCAAATACATTGCAGGAGGTCCCAGGAACGATTTACAATCAAATTCAAGCACTAAAGCTTAAAGAATCACTGAATACAGTTTCACGGTTTGCACTTTTGATTCCAAAT